AGCACAGAGATGGGAGCCTCACGGAGAACTCGTTCCCTCCAGAGAGCACGCTCTGGTGAATGCTCCAATAACAGAACAGCCATGATGTAAAGTCGGATTCCCGTCGCCACGCGTGTCTTCAGTGTTCCCGCGGGGCCTTAAAGTCTTAAAGCATTGAATTTTGAAAACCGGGTCTTAGTATTTGTGCTGTATGTATGTTCTCCGTACTGTAACGCAGCGCAGCCGCGGGTCAAATACTCCGAACCCGTGATGAATTCAGCTCCCGCGCTGCAGCAGCGATGCTAAACAGCACCGACCTCCAGCAGAGGAGGAACGAGGAAAGTGTCAGCCGACCCTGAGAAAGGCTGACTGGTGCCAGAACTCTGGACCTCTTTGGGACTGAGTGGAAACATTGGGTCGGTACCGATATCAGAACAAAAAGTGTTAAAATGTCCCGATGTGCCACTGTGGGTCACATGACTGATCCGAGTCGCATTCTTCTCTGCGGTTCGCTGATGAAGACAAACGTTTGGGTGCGTTTAGCCAAAGTAAGCAGCAGCTAAATGAAACGCCAGCGAGAAGATTTGTGCTGCAAAACTCAGGAGTAGCAGCTATTTAACACAACACCTGGTCACCTGGTCGTGCAGGCACCATCCTGACAGCCGGAACAGGGAAAGTCTCTGAGGGCAGAAAAGTAAACCGAGCTTCCAAAACGCTGGAAGAGTCCGATGATGGAGGCGGATGAAAACCAGCTGAGCTGCTGTTTACCGGCTTTCCAACAGCAGCTCAGCAGGTGGTTGTTACTGCTGTTGCCGACATGAAGACATGAAGTCAAGCACTAATGAAGCTAGTTTATACAGATCATTCAGTTTTGTAGCTTTGCTGTTTTTGGTTAGAAAAAATTACATAAAGTATAATTTAATGAATATAATAAAATAATAATAAAACCTTTAGAAATATACAGATTTCAACAAAAGTATTGTTACGGTACCGCCGTTAAACGCCAGGTACTGGTAAAGTAGTATGGTACCGCCATTAAACACCAGGTACTGGTAAAGTAGTATGGTACCGCCATTAAACACCAGGTACTGGTAAAGTAGTATGGTACTGCCGTTAAGAGGAAAACTCCCTTTTAACAGGAAGAAACCTCCAGAGGATCCTGGCTCAGTATAAGCAGCCATCCTCCACGACTCACTGGGGATCGAGAAGACAGAGCGCACACGCACACACACACACACACACACACACACACACACACACACACACACACACACACACACACACACACACACACACACACACACACACACACACACACACACACACACACACACACACACACACACACACACACACACACAGGTTACATTGTGATTTCTTAGTAAATATTCTATTTGGTGAGAGATAAACTTTATTGTATTTATCCTAGTGAATCTATAATTAAACGGGTAAACTAGTAGTAGCACATTCAATGTCAAGGAAAGTAAAACATTATCAGGAGAGGGAGAATGTTTAAGTGGTTAGCAGCAGTGTGCTAGTCGATGGCCCCCTCCATGAGGCCACCACAGCTCAGCAGAACATCGTTGTAGCTTCTTCTGGGGAGAAAAACACTTAGAGAGAAAATAAAGTTAACAGCTGAAATAGCAGGAAATAATACAGTTAAAGAGCAGATTGTAGAAGAAAGAAACCCCTGGGTTAAACTGGTCTGTCTACTGCATAATGCTGAACTCTAACATGTGTCCTCAGGGAAGGACCTGATTGGTGTCCAGAACCTGCTGAAGAAGCACCAGGCTCTGCAGGCTGAGATCACAGGTCATGAACCTCGCATCAAGGCTGTCACCCAGAAGGGAGAGACCATGGTGGAGGAAGGTAGAGCAGGTCTGGTCCTGACATGTTTCTGAGGTGTCTGCAGGTTCTGGCTCACTGTTTTTGGGTCCAGGTCACTTCGCTGGTGAGGAGGTGAAGACTAAGCTGTCGGAGCTTCATGGACGTTGGGACACGCTGAAGGCCAAGGCGTCCCAGAGGAGGCAGGACCTGGAGGACTCTCTGCAGGCTCAGCAGTACTTTGCGGATGCTAATGAGGCCGAGTCCTGGATGAGGGAGAAGGAGCCCATCGTTGGAAGTCCGGACTACGGGAAAGACGAGGACTCGGCCGAGGTATGGAAGTCCCTTCCTGAGAAACTCCAATCGCTTTTCTTTGCTCTCTTTCCAGTCCTTCATAATTAGTGTTTCTGTGTTTGCCATTTCCTTCGGTTGTCTACCAGACATCGTTGCTCGTTTGAGCGTCTCATGGGTTAGGGGTAGAAGTGCTGGCCTCTCACAGGAAGTGATGACAAACGTGTTCCCGTCGCTCTTATTTCAAACTGTTTACGAGCTGTGATGTGCGTTCCCCCTGCAGAGCAGCCATGACGCATGGCAGCCGGCAGAAGGCTCACGCTTTTCCACTAAACACCCGCAGGGCTGCGTCTGCGGTGACCTGAGCAGGGTTTGTTTTACGGTGGCGGATCCGATTGGACCATCGCTGTGAGAAAGCTCCACTTGTGTCAGACGAGCTGAAGGTTCTGATGTTCTGCTCCACAGGCTCTCCTGAAGAAGCACGAGGCCCTGATGTCGGACCTGTCGGCTTACGGCAGCAGCATCCAGGCCCTGAAGGAGCAGGCCCAGTCCTGCAGGGTGAGTTCAGAACCCTCGGCCCGTCAGAACATCCTTATCCACCGCGTTCTAACACCAGACCCGTTAACCCGACAGCAACAAGTGGCTCCAACTGACGACGAGACCGGGAAGGAGCTGGTTCTGGCTCTGTACGATTACCAGGAGAAGAGTCCTCGAGAGGTCACCATGAAGAAGGGCGACATCCTCACGCTGCTCAACAGCACCAACAAGGTTCGTGTGCCCTTCCCAGCCGAGGAACGACCTCCAGCTCAGAGCGACCATCTCCACACCTGCTTTGTGTTTGTGTGACTTTAGGTTGTTTTACTTGAACTCGCGTCTTTAGCTGAATGAGGATGGAGAGACGGGCGTAGAAAACAGGAAATGTGTGTGAAACAGCTTTTGTCCACACGAGTCAGGGGGAGGAGCAAACGCCTGCCGAGTGTTGTGGGCGGAGCCTGTGGTTGTGTGTGCTTGGATGCTTCAGCCAGTTAATGGCGGTGTGTGTCTCAGGACTGGTGGAAGGTTGAGGTGAACGACCGTCAGGGCTTCGTTCCTGCCGCCTACGTGAAGAAGCTGGACCCGACCCAGTCGTCCTCCAGGGAGAACCTTCTGGACGAGCATGGCAGCATCGCGGCCCGGCAGGAGCAGATCGAGAACCAGTAAGAGACGCCCGCTGTTCTTCTGTTGGCTCACTAACAGCTTCTGCTCTGAGGTGGTGGCCACAGGTGCCTACTTCCTGTGAATGTTGTAGTTCTAACGACCTGGTTCCTGGTTCTGTTCTGTCTGCTCTAACCTCCTGACCCGGTCTCGCTGCCTGCTGCTCTGCAGGCTGGTCACCAAGGAGACCTGCAGCGTGTCTGTGCGCATGAAGCAGGTGGAAGAGCTGTGAGTAGGAAGCAGAGACCCCATCCATGTTGTGGTGGTACCGTTATGTCGTCATCATCAGCAGCAGAGTAACCCCGCCCACCCCCAGCACCCCCTCCCCTTCCCATCTTCTGATCCCTAACAGGATAGAAGATCCGTCTCATCCCAGGCTTCCTCAGCACTAGATCACGTTTGGGTCGGTGCCGGACGGCTAGTGTCTCATCTAGAGTCTGTCTGAAGGGCTTCAGAACAAAACCAACAATCCTGATCCTGCTGAAGACTCCAGTGGGATCGGGAATCCTGCTGAAGACTCCAGTGGGATCGGGAATCCTTGTTGAAGACTCCAGTGGGATCTGTAATCCTGCTGAAGACTCCAGTGGGATCTGTAATCCTTGCTGAGGGCTCCAGTGGGATCGGGAATCCTGCTGAAGGCTCCAGTGGGATCGGGAATCCCGCTGAGGGCTCCAGTGGGATCGGGAATCCCGCTGAGGGCTCCAGTGGGATTGGGAATCCTTGCTGAGGGCTCCAGTGGGATCGGGAATCCTGCTGAAGACTCCAGTGGGATCTGTAATCCTTGCTGAAGACTCCAGTGGGATCGGGAATCCTGGCTGAAGAATCCAGTGGGATCTGTAATCCTTGCTGAAGACTCCAGTGGGATCGGGAATCCTGCTGGAGACTCCAGTGGGATCGAGAATCCTGCTGGAGACTCCAGTGGGATCGGGAATCCTGCTGAAGACTCCAGTGGGATCTGTAATCCTTGCTGGAGACTCCAGTAGGATCGGGAATCCTGCTGAAGGCTCCAGTGGGATCGGGAATCCTGCTGAAGTCAAACGAACTTGGATATAAAATTCCAAGTCTACAACTAAACTGGTTCTAATAACCAGCTGGAGTAATCCTAACCCTGCGGTTCTGATCTGGAGGTCTTTGGAGCCTCCAGGACTTCTTCCCATTGGGAATTAGAATCCTGAAGCCCTTCAGCTGCTCTGTAGATGCATGCAGATGTTTCTGCTGAGACTCATCTCATCATGTTCCTTCCTGGTCTGTGGCCGACTCCGTCCGTCTCGCGCTGTCCTCCCGGCTGACCCGTCCTCTCCCCTCTGAAGGTACGGGACTCTGTTGGAGCTGGGAGAGAAGCGTAAGGACATGCTGGAGAAGAGCTGCAAGAAGTTCATGTTGTTCCGCGAAGCCAACGAGCTGCAGCAGTGGATCAACGAGAAGGAGGGCGCCCTGACCAACGAGGAGGTCGGCTCGGACCTGGAGCAGGTCGAGGTCTTGCAGAAGAAGTTTGACGACTTCCAGAAGGTCGGACTTTTCCTCCTCTCCGTCTTCCAGCAGCAGCTGTCAGATCAGCTCAGGTGATAACCAGCAGGTGCTTTTGTCCTGCAGGACCTGAAGGCCAACGAGTCCCGCCTGAGGGACATCAACAAGGTGGCGTCTGAACTGGAGTCAGAAGGTCTGATGGCTGAGGAGGCTCCTATGGTTCAGGCTCAGGTGAGCTCACCTGTCTGCAGCAGCTGGTCCCTCTCACTTCCTGGTTTGTTAACTCTGCTCGTCTCTGTTTGTAGCAACAAGAACATCTGGGTTCTGCTCCTGGAAAGGTGCGTGTTGTCCCCCGCCTCCACCAGAACCAGACGTGGTGTTTTTGTTACCACTCATTTGTTTGTTTGTTTTGTTTGTTTGTTTACAGGATGAAGCCGACTCTAAGACGGCGTCACCCTGGAAGGTGAGTTCATTCAGCTGATCAGAGCTCACCTCTGATGGCCGCAGTCACGGCCGACCGTGCTGACATCACACAGGAATTCAGGTGACCCGGCAGGCACCAGGTGCTGATGAAAGTGGGGACATGTCAGCTGGTTGCCATGGCTGCAATTATCTTTATGCATCTGTATGACTGCTGACTGGTGTGTGTTTCCTGTGACCTTTGACCTCAGACCGTACGGTTGGGCGTTCAGACGACGGCGAACTTTAATTCCATCAAGGTAAGAGGAAGCTCTTCCCTTCCTGTCTGAGCGATCCGTCTCCAGGTTTCCTCGTCCGGCGTCCAGCCCGCTGGCGTCCACCGCTCCCTTCATCTCACGGGGTTTGGTTTCTCTCCAGGAGCTGAACAACCGCTGGCGCTCGCTGCAGCAGCTGGCTGAAGACCGGAGCAACATGCTGGGCAGCGCCCACGAGGTGCAACGCTTCCACAGGTACCCCGCACACTTATGCGCCGCTTACGGGTCAGTAGAGTTTGGACCCACACTCAGACGGAGTTCTGATGTCTTCTCAGAGACGCCGATGAGACCAAAGAGTGGATCGAGGAGAAGAACCAGGCCCTGAACACGGACAACTACGGCCACGACCTGGCCAGCGTTCAGGCTCTGCAGCGTAAACACGAAGGCTTTGAGCGTGACCTGGCAGCTCTGGGTGATAAGGTCCGCTTCCTGATCGGTACCAGGACCCGGGTTGTCTCTGGAGACGCGTTCTTCATGGTTCTGGTGACTCCACAGGTGAAGTCTCTGGGAGAGACAGCAGAACGCCTGATCCAGTCCCACCCTGAGGCTGTGGATGACATCCAGGAGAAATGCACGGAGCTGAACACGGCCTGGAGCAGCCTGGTGGGTCGGGCCGACCAGCGCAAGGAGAAGCTGGGGAACTCTCACGACCTGCAGCGCTTCCTGTCGGACTTCAGGTGAGCTGGAGGCGGAGCCTGGACTGGGTTCAGTCCAGGAGTGGTTCCTGACTAGCTGTGGTTCTTCACAGGGACCTGATGTCGTGGATTAATGGAATCCGGGGCTTGGTGTCCTCCGAGGAGCTGGCCAAAGACGTGACGGGAGCCGAGGCTCTTTTAGAACGCCATCAGGTTTCTGCCCGGTTCTGTCGAACGCTTCCGATGCAACCGGATCACTTCCTCTGACTCTCTCTTCCTCCTGCAGGAACACCGGACGGAGATCGACGCTCGGGCTGGGACCTTCCAGGCCTTCGAGCAGTTTGGCCAGCAGCTGCTTGCTCGAGGGCACTACGCCAGTCCTGAGATCCAGCAGAAGCTGGAGGCTCTGGACCGCGAGCGGGCGGACCTGGAGAAGGCTTGGGTCCAGCGGCGCATGATGTTGGATCAGTGCCTGGAGCTTCAGGTGGGATTACGCACTCACACACACAAACACACACGTACACACATACACACACGCACGCACACAAATACACACATACACGTGCACACACACACGCACACACACACACACACAAATACACACACACGTGCACACACACACGCACACACACACACACACAAATACACACACACGTGCACACACACACACACACACACACGTACACATACACACACACACATACAAATACACGTACACACACTCACACACGCACATACTCACACACACACACACACACACTCACTCTCACACACGCACACACACACGTACACACACGCACATACACACACACGCACACACACACACGTACACACGCATGCACACACACACACACACACCTACACACGCATGCACACACACACACGTACACACACATACACACTTGCACACACACACGCGCACACACACAAGTACACGCGCGCACACACACACACACATGTACACACACACATGTACACACGCGCTCATACACACACATGCGCGCACACACACTCAGCCTTGTCCCCCCATCAGCTCTTCAACAGAGACTGCGAGCAGGCGGAGAACTGGATGGCGGCTCGGGAGGCGTTCCTCGCCAGCGACGATAAGGGCGACTCCCTGGACAGCGTGGAGGCGCTCATCAAGAAGCACGAGGACTTCGACAAGGCCATCAACGTCCAGGTAAGTCCGTGTGCTCAGAGGAACGTCTCAGACTCGACGTCTGGAGGACTCAGACGTTTTCCTGCTGCAGGAGGAGAAGATCGCCGCTCTGCAGTCGTTTGCCGACCAGCTGATCGGAGCCGACCATTACGCCAAATCTGACATCTCCACTCGCCGCAACCAGGTCCTGGACAGGTGAGAGCATCTCTGGTCACCC